ATTGTAACTTTATATAATAGGCGGGATCAATACAAACATACATAAAAAAAAAAAAGAAAAGAATTAGTATATTGTACATATAGGCGTACATCGAGAGGTAAGAGACGTTTATCATTGCGTTGACGCGAACGTGGACGAAATTAGCGTAGGGTGAGCGATTCGAATCGTCCTCGGTATTGCGTTCCTCTCTGTCTTCTGTCTTGGACGCGATTTACCCGAAGGACGATCGAATTCGGTTGCTCTGGGAGTCGTGGAGCGAAATTTTCGCGCGAAGAAGCGTTTATCGGTGCGATCGACATATCGGAGACTTGGTATCTCGCGTAGAACCAAGAAGCATGGTGGAACAGGGAACGACGACTTTTCAAAAGTGTTTCGAAGTTAAACGTTCGTTCAGCGATGCTATTCTCACGACATTCAACTAATTAATCACACGAATCGTTATGTTCCATGTATTTATATCAGATGAAATACTATCGATAGCATTCGCAATATCTAGTATGTAGGTGATGTTACCGTTATAACATTAAAAATACTATTTATATATCTTAATGTAATTCGCCGCGTAAGGAGTAGATAATCAGAGACATAGCCGTTCGTATATAAAACGTCCGTTGAATTTAAACGTAACAGGAATCGCTTCTCTGTCGTTGTGTCGAGAAAATGGGAACGAAATGGGAGAGAAAATCATTGAAAGATGAAAAGAAAGATCGTAAAACGAATATTGTAGAATCATCGAAATAAGAATAGTTACGTTCGGTAAACTGCAATTGGAGAACAATTTAACGATTTAGCATTTTATAAGGAAATCAGGCACTTTATACATGGTCGTGGCATCGTTAACATCGAAGAGACGAAGAAGCACCGAACAAGCGAGGGAAATTGAAAACTACTCATAGTTGCGTTTAGATTCATCGATGTAAAGCATATTGCTGCCTTTGGCTGTATCGTTGCCCCCTACTGCTAACGAGTAACTCACTTGTCTACTCATGTGATAATTTAGTATATCTCTACGTATCTACCTGTACCTACCGGTTCTCAGTAGCAAAAGGATTATTCGTCTTGCGCTGCGTTCAATCTCAATTTCAAGCCAAGTCGATCTTGGTCGGTAGAGAAACGAAAAAAGAAATTAAACTAAGCCTGTTCTTGACTATCAATAACCAAGGAATACTTCAAGGGGAGAGTTATTCTTAAGAGAACCTCGTGAGACGTCATGTAGCTCGGTTTGTTTGTTTTCGCTGAAATTTGAAACAGAGTTTTCTATCGTGGAAATACGTAATCCTTTCTCTGCTCAAAGATTCGCGCTGTATAATCTAGATAGCTTGCTTGTACCTAGTATGTCCGTTTTCCGACGATCGTCGAAAGGTTACGTTGTTCGCGGGGGAAGGAAACCAAAAATTGAAAATATTCGAGCGAACGACCATCCGAAACGGCTACGTCGAAAAGAGTTACTTCGAGGGTTATTTGTCGCGCGATACAGCGAATCGTTTCTCCTGTGATTTCTGAGGATTCGCCGTTTTCGTTCGCGGACACTTTTATCGATAGACATTTTCCGTCGTTCGCTCGAAGACACTCGGTTTCAATGAATTGGACGTTTCATCGAAGGTTCGTGAGCTCCACGTTGATCTCGACGATCCACTCGAATGGGTGAATTGGCAATCGGTAAGAGTTTCCACGAGATAAAGACATTGTTTGCTTCATCTTGGTTAAGTAATGTTTTGCGACAAATGTACGGATCGACAATCACGCTTAACCCTCGAGACTTCCGTGTTCGTTCAATCTTCCATGTTGGTGCTATTGCAAGTAGTATTGACACTGAGAAGGGAATCGTAAACAGTGGAATTGACATTTTTATTCCAATTTTTGTTGCGTAGAATTTTGCGACTGGGTCCGCACCGAGTTTGTGCGCTGTGTTGCGAACGGTTCGCTTGCAATTTATTTCGCTACCTAACTACGATACGATCGAGCGCGTTTCACATGATGGCGATCAAAATTTTAAAGAGGAAAAGAGAAATCGACGAGGCTAGATTTAAAAATGAATACAGCACATTGAAAGACATATCTGTCTCGATCAGTATCGAGTAAGATTATGAACATATCCAAATACATGGAATTTTTAAGCTTATGATCCGTTCGTATAAGCTTTCCATGGTGTAGTACTCAGTATCGTTCGCTTAAAAATTATTTCTATATAGAATGTTTAAACAGCAAGGCATAGTAGTAACAAAATTGAACGAAAAATCTGGTCATACTCAGTTTATTTTTCTGGAAAATTTAAACTAACTTCTATGGCTCTTAAATCGTAAAGTATCGCCATTGGATCGCATCACGTGAAACGAACTTTCCATGGATTTGACTTTCTTAAGCGAAGAATACAGTTCTATTATTGCAATTGTAGATACCAACGAAGCATTGTTATCTACGTATTCGTCGAATTTAATTTCCGAGACATCCGATTGTTAACCTAACGTGGAATTGAGAGAAATCTTAGAGGTAATCGCGAAAGACTGTGGAGAGCTCACCTAGCTGTATCTTCTATTCAGGCAAGGGCAATCTCAGAATTTCTCACTACGGCATAAAGCCGCGTTGTTCAACGTTCGTTTTCCATCGAACGATTCTTTCCGCGTTCTTCTCTTCGTAGAGACAGTGGCGCGTTTATCTAGAAAACATTTCAAGAAACGATCGGTATTATTTTTGAAAAAGAATTAATCCATTTCATACATTTTACAAGAAACGAAAATTTAAATTGATCTTCTTTAACGTACGAAACAATTCAAGGTCTAGTATCAACTTTTCCCGATGTGTCGTTTTGTGCTGTGTCCAAAACAAAATGAAACTTTTGGAAAATTGTTTTAGACTTGATGAAGTTACAATGCGCCACTGCGTAGAGTGTAGAGCAATAATTTTCGAACACTCGATACGATGAAGCGTGACAAATTACATTACGCTACTATATTTCGTTCTTACGAAACTATCAGTATTAATTAGTTCTATCAGCTTCAAACGATAATTGTTCTTTTTTCTTTTACTTTCCAAGTGCTTTGTTAAAAAAAAAATATCGTAAACTTTTAGTGGACAATGTTCGTCACCGATCAACACCGTGATTAAGATCTCGCGATGCTGATCGTTGGGGATCTTCTTGGCAGGAATCGTGTTAATAAAAATTACTACAAAATCTGTAAATATCGCACTCCGGAAATCCGACAAAAATTGATCTTTCATCCGGATAATTATCGTCGAAAAGATGGCGAGAGAGAGAGAGAGAGAGAGAGAGAGAGAGAGAGAAAAGGAGGGAGAAAGAGAGAAATAGGGGGAGAAAAATTGCTGATAGGCCGTGAAAGGTTGCCTAGGCCTGCTCTACGCTATTGAACCTTAATCGTTATAGTCATAAAATTATTTTGTACTAAGAACTGTTTATAATTTTGTATCTAATCTCTGTAAATACCAAGCAGATTGTCTATGGCTAATAAAGCTTAAACAAAATCGATATAAGTAGACTATGTAAAGGGAATTATATATATATATATATACATAAGTATTTATATTTTAATTAGCGATTAAGAAGGCGAACAAGAAGATGTAATTAAATTTCACATAGGCGAGGACTGGTAATATACCAATGTACAACGATCTAGGAACTATTTGTATTATACAGGTGACAATTTAAGGGACAAATCATTAAAAAAAAAAAAGTATACATGTTACTCGATAGCCACGTATGTGTATAGGGTCCTCCCTTGGATATTTAACCCTTGAATTCTAAACGAAATTTTTACGAGAAGATAATTATTTCATTTCGCGTTATTGATTTTAAAAAGACAGAGAAATTGTATGTTCGAACAAATGAAATTGTTCGTTTGTCGTACTCTAATAAAAATCATAGTCCTATTAAACGTTGACGTTATTTTGTATTGATACTAAGAAATAATCGGGGAATTTTAGGAGGAATTGTTTCAGCTTTATTGTAAACCGATACTTTTGGGAAACCCTGTACAGTATTACAGCGTAGAATCCAACTAGTCATTTACGGCACTTTATAACGGTTAAAGTGTATCTTCTACGATAAACGTGACATGCGTAGAACGTGTTGCTCTAACTTTATTTTCTAATTTAATGAAGCGATTGTAAAAAAATTTATATTCTAGATAAAAACGTCTTCTCTGATTTTTTTTTCCTAAGTTTCTAAAAATCACGATTAATGTATATTTGTATCTTGTTACTGGCGAAAGAATAAGTTTGGATTGTTGTATTATTTTTATTTCAATCGATCTGCCTCCAAATGCGAACTATCGCTTAAACGTTACTGACAGTAATCTAAGTCTTGCGCAAGATAATTCTATTCATGTATCTTATATGTATGTCTCGATAAAGGTGGAAGTACACATTGTAAGTTCAAGTACGCGGGAAGCACAACGATGAAACCTATTTGTATCGAACAGTCAAATGAAATGATATTACATATTTCAATGAAAATCCATAATTTCCTGAAGTTCTCACTTTACCTTCTCTATATCTTGCAAAAACAAGGGTTGCAGTCAAAAAAGAAAGCTTATCCTGTTTAAATTACAGAACTGTAGCTTATAGTCGTCGATCATTTCCCACCTAAAAGAATAAGTGTTCCCAAATCTATCCAATCGCGTATCCTGCGTTTCATAGAAATCGGACTTAACGCGAAGTACATCGTCTGTTTCGCATAGATGTCGCCTGATACACTAAAAAATGAAATGTAAGATTCCACGCGAAGTATTAAAACTCAATGGATACAAGAACAAAATTGTAAACAATTAAATAAAATGTTGAATTGTGGTTTTTCAAATAACACACACAGTCTTAGAAGATAATCGTAAAAAATGTAAACATGTTACACAGAAATAAATTTTTATATGGTACTACTGAATGATTTAAAATTACGAATCGAATGTGACAATATGGTATGCGTTACCAAGTATCGGTAGGATGTATGATAGGAATAATATTCAATAAAACACTTTTTCATACGAAAAATGTTTTATATTAAAGCTCCTACGGGACAAGTATCGCTTCACGTTTTAGAAAAATGCATTCTTGCTAGATTAGAATATTTACAATTACTTTATCAAGCTAAAGCTCATGAATTTGATGGTAACTTTGAATATTTATTAGAAAACTCTGTGTATGATAAAATTGGACATTTTTCATTGCGGTAAGTGGTTATTCAAGTAACTGTAATAATTACTAATTTCACTGGTCTACAAGGTGAAATTAAAAATTTTGTTTAATTGGCTTTGTGGACTATTGATTATTAATGTCTTTAATGCAGACTATTAGCATCAGTGTCACATGATCTATGCAACTATTGGATTGTCAGGGAAACACTATTGTTCCAAAATAGGCTGCATCATATTTTACCTAGACAATTATATAGACTATTAAGACGTATTGTATGCCAGCTAAGGTTACTTGCAGATACAAAAAAATTAATAAATAGAACATTAATTGACATATGTATTTTCTTATCAAATCAATCAGTTTTTAAACATATTGTATCAAAAGATCACAAAAAGAATTGTAATTGTTTTCACACTAAAGGTACGCATAAAAAAAAATAAAATTTGTTATTTAACGGGCAATGATTTAAAAATTATATTTATTCTTACTTTTTTAAGTGAGATTCGAATTAGTACCAGACTTAATAAAAGAAAGGAAATTAAATTTGAATGCTGGATATGCTATTGTATATTGCTCAAAATGGAAAGAAATACTTTCATCATTATTTTCTACATACATGACTACAGAATTAATATCTATGAAATCAAAAGCAAAACATACTATAAATCATGATGCCAGATTTGATTATTTGTATCAAAAGATCTATTATAAAATATTTAAGAAAAACTATGGACATGGACGTGTAACTATAGACAATATAGACATAGAGTCTAAGAATTTTCCACTTTGTATGCAACATTTGCATAAAAAATTACGAAATACGCATAGACTTAGTCACTATGCTCGTTTACACTATAGCCTTTTTTTAAAAGAAAGTGGCATGGTTTTACAAGATGCTATAAGTTATTGGAAGGAAGAATATTCCAAACCTCATTCATGTTCCTCTCTCTGTTCACATCATTGGCAATCAAATGAACGTAAATTTGTCTATAGCATTAGACATCTTTATGGTTTAGAAGGATCTCGGAAAAATTATAAGTCACCCAATTGCGAGTTTATGTGTGTAAGTCAAATTTTAATATATTGTAAAAAATGAGTATTCTGTTGTTAAAACTGCTAATTACTTCTTTTTCAATTCTATTACAGACGAATTTTTCTAGTCCAATGTACGAAGGAGGATGTCCGTTTAAAAATTTTGATATAAATATTGTAAAAAAACTTTTAAGCTCATCATTATCAGATGATCAAGTAACAAAACTATTAAACATTACGTCCCCTCAAAATCCTCAAATTGCTTGTGCAGAGTATTTCAAAATACTCGATCAAAGAAATAGTGATAACATTGTTATAAACAGTCCATTACAATATTACCTAACAATGGTTAATGCTGAGCATTAAATGATTAATCAAATCTAATGAATAACGAACAGTTCTATAACCGAAATATTAATCTTTAATAAATTAAATCATGTACATATTATTGATGTATATCTAATTTAAATTACGAAAAAATTTTCAAAGCATTTTCTATAACTGCTCGAGTCACACCAGTTTTTACAAGTATACTAGTAACACCAAGTTTGCTAACATCAACAATATTTCTTTGTTCATCATCAAAAAATAATATATCTTTGTAATCAATACCTGATGCTTTTTGAATTCTGGAATAAAACGATTTAGTTAATTATAAATTATAATAGTAAAATCGCATGAAACAAAAATATTTTTTTAAATTTAATGTTTATGGAAAACTTACTTAGATAAATGGGTTACTTTGCTTCCTGGATATATCTCTTTGTACTTGAAATATTTATCCCAGTTAAACAATTTTAACAATTGCTTAGCTCCGTCAATTTCTGAAGTACGGGATGCGACACCAAGTTCATATTTTTCATCTGATAACCATTTTAAAACGTCAGGTACTTCTTTGTAATAGCGTATCACGTGACCATACGAATCTACCACCTCGTTCCCTTTTCTAAATAAACATTAATTGCGACAATAAATATTTAATTATCTCCATTTGTTTGTAAATAACCGTAAAATATTAACCCTTACTTTTTAAATGGCGGAGTAACATGTGTATCTACCCAGAATGGCCATAAAGTATAATCTGAAATATGAAACAATTATAGACGTATTTAATCACATTTTATTTACACAACTTCTTGTAATATGAAAATAACATTTCTTTGAGAAATGTCCTAACCCAAATCAAAAACAATTATTTTAGGTTGCCGAGTCATTTTACACATTTTCTATTAAACTACTGCGCTGTTTATTACATAATACTGAACATAAATAATAGTAGTAGAAAACTATCGACTTAAGCGACTATCGATCATTTTTAAATATACTGTATCATTTTATGAATTTACATATCTAACCTACAGTCATAAACGAGGTATAGATGCAAACCTTATACACAGACGAAATATACTTGACAGTCATGCCAACTTAAATTTGGGGAGGTGATTGTAGCGTCCTCTTCTCATGGATGGTTGTCAGTTGAGAAACTATTCACTGAATTAGTGTTGGTAGTCAAACAGCTGTGTTGTGTGTAAACATATGTGAGTGCTATGCAAATTCTAGTTAGAGTTGCAATCGATAACAATTTTTTGCGTTTGTTTTTCGAAACCCTAATGTAAAAATATCTTGACTTTGGAACTATAAGACCGAATAATGCGTAAATAACTTTCGATCAAAACTTTTTGTCGATATCGCATCAAAAGTAAAATTTATGAATTTGTGGTGTTACCGACGTCGATGATCGGATTAAATATGATTCCCAGAGTCATTATCCCTAGAGTGCGCTGTAAAACAACTAATTTCGCACGTGGTCAGTATTTCGGTTCGTTAGAAAATAACCTATTATTGAATCGGTGGTGTACACAATACTTAAGTAGTCATTAAACTATTGTATAAAATATATTCATTCTAAAATGTGTGATTTAGTGTGATGTCTGTGATATCGACAAATTCGCGATATTCTATTATTCCTTAATTATGTTTACTGTAATGCATTTACTTTTAATTTGTGTTTTATTTCTGTTACAGTCTCTGAAATTCGAAGTCAAGGAATTTTTTCTTGAAATGGAAGTTTTAGGAAACATCGGTGGCTCCCTCCACCCACCACCTAATTCGCGAGCGCTGCTGAGTACGAGGGGGTGCCATTCCTGTTATAAAAATTGGCGTGATAAGACGTGTCGAGACCTGTCGACGTTTCGCTGCCAACGAGGTAACCTGTTGATACTTCATCATTATTACTACACGCGTATACTTTCTAACGATGCTGTCGTGTGATATTAATACGTTTCTATTACAAATTAAATCGGAATTGTGGCACAAAGTGAATCGGGTTTCGCGTGTTTTCTCCAAGATTCAACAGGTGTTAATTGTTAACATGTCTCTCTGAATTTAATTACGATTTCTTGTAATACAGTTTGAATTTAATCATTCCTCAATTATAATTATCGTTCATGTACTTTAATGTATTTTTATTTCGTTTTTGTTACAATCTCTTATTAGAAATCGAAATCAACGGATTTCTGACAGCGGAACTTCTCCCCAATTCGCGAGCGTCGGTGGGAGCAGCGAGGGGGCGCCATTCCTACTGGAAAAATTGGCGCGATAAGACGTGTCGAGATCTGTCGGCGTTTCGCTATTAACGAGGTACGTATTTCTAACCTATTGATATTTCACCATTGTTACTACACGCGTTTACTCTGTAACGGTGCGTTCGTGTAATATTAATACGTTTCTACTACAAATTGAATCGGAATTGTGGCAAAAACTGAATTTCGTGCGTTTTCTTCGATATCTAACCGGCGTCGATTCATTATATTTTCCTAAACGAAATTACGTATCTTGTACATCAGTTATTGTTTTATTATGATTAGATATGTTTAGTGTACTGCATTTCATTTTAATTTCTGTTCTATTTCTGTTATAGTCTCTGATTGGAATTCGAAATCAAGACAAGACACCGGCAAAAAATCGACGCCATTACAGTTGGAAATATTAAAATGGCGCCAATATCAAATGGTTTAATAAGGATTGGTAAAATTTATTATACAGATATTATTTATATATTTTTATGATTTTATCAATTTATAATAACATTTTATCATTCGAATTTATAATTGTTGAGAGAATTTAATTTTTATTTTACATTTATCATTCTAAAGAATTAGCAGTATTTCTATTGAGAATTTCTGAATGAAGTGAGACAAAAAAAGAGCGTGCTTCTTGTGTCCTTACCTTGTTATCTTTCCAGAAAATTTGTTGGCCGCGCGCAATGCGGCCAGTAGCTTCAGTGTTTGTGCGTAGGAACAGTTGTTTTTCTGGGCAAAGTGACCCCGGTCGGTTGTCGTTCACGTCTTAATTAAAGAGTCGGTTGTCGTACAACGTAGTTAGGCAAACGCGAGCATAGAATCAGTGTTTCTTACGCAATTTTAAAATATTTCCAGAGCATCGTGGCTCTCCTCGTTTTATGAATCGCGAGAATAGAATCATTTGTTCGCCGATTTCAATCTTCGGTCGCGGTAATGTAATTTAATATCTAATAAACTTGATTATTTTTTTAATTTGAAATTAAAATTCTTCGTTACCGGGGTTAGAGTCGGTGCATCACTGAAGAGGACTATTGGGCGTTGCTCCACGAGCAAACAATGTAAGTAAAGGGTTTTTCAATAAGGGCATAACAATTTTGTATCTAAATAGACACAGAATAATTGAGATATTGGGCTGAAATTTATTCCAGTATTAACAATAGATTCTAATTGTTTTCTTGCAGTTTTCTTACAGTTTCTGGACCTGATCCTGGAAACCAGCAGGACCAGGCTGACTGTTGGATGACTGATGACTTCCAGTGAGCAGAATCATCATCAGGCAGTCATCCCAGAAGTACCAGTTCAGCATTGGTGAGTCGCATGTGATTTTTATTCCTCTGGTCCCCAATCATGTTGTAGGATAAAAGATCCGAATCAACACGGGTGACCAGTTGTATACTTAGTATTTTTGACGAGTTAAGTGACCGCGGGTATGAAAAGTACCCGTGAGTAGTAACATTATTTGTTATATTTTTTTAGTGCAGGCTAGGGTCTTCTTGCACTCGCGTTTTTCAATGTTACAAATAAATATTACACAATATGATTATTATAACATTTTTATAATAATATATAAAACAATTTTTGTAAACTATATGCAATATTTTTATTAATTTCATATGAATTATATGATTGAGTAGAATATGAATTGATATAATGTGGAACCAATATATTAATCATACGATCGAGTAGAATATGAATGATAATTATTAAATATTCGTTTCATTAATTAATACATCATATGATGTATTTAACGTGCAAGAAGGCATTTCGCGACAGGTCGATTTTTGAGTCAAAGTAACATGCATTTTATAATAATTTCATATTTTTAAAAATTTACTTTGACGACAGAATCGACTTTGAATTTTAAAAATAATAATTTATTAAATTTGTTTTAATAATAAATTTCAATTCTCAAAGTAAATTATCATAAAATCTTAATGAAGTCTTTCGTTTCAAATAATTAAATTTCAATCATAATAATTTTCTTTAATGATAATATTTTTCACTATTAATTTATTTTGCTGTTGATATACCAGATATAACAACTCGAGTCATTTTAACTAAGAATTAAATACGAAAAACCGTTTAGCTATATTTAATTAACCACTTTTTCTAGTCAGGATTTTCAGACTAATCTTTCCGTGTTTGTTGTCTAAGCTCATGCACATGCCCAGGTGTTATTTGCATGAGCGAAGGTAATGGGCACGATGATTTAGTTCGTAAAAATTGTTACTAATATATATCATTAGCGGCTGACATTGCGTTAGTGTACTGTGCACGACGCACTTTCCACATGTGTGTGTGGTTAGGATGTGGAAGTGCGTCGTTTAAAAATTTATTATTCTTTAAAAATAAAATTGTATTTCGTAATAATATATTTTTATCAAATCAAATACAATTATTAAACTTTTATTTCTTATTTTTCGAATAATTTTTGAGTAATTAATAATATTGGCTTGGGATTTTTATAACGAGTAGGCGACATTTTCTCGAGATGGGTACAAGAAATTGTAGACCCCTCGAATTATGTGCCGACGACGACCTGTAAGGAATGTCTATCGAAGAGCACACGGACGACATATTATTTCTTATTTTTCGAATAATTATAGAATGGCTAATATTATTAGCTTGGGGATTTTTTCAACGACTTGACGACATTTTCTCGAGATGGGTACAAGAAATTGTAGACCCCTCGAATTATGTGCCGATGACGATCTGTAAGGTATGTCTGTCGAAGAGCACACGGACACGTGCGACGTAACGAAAGCATAAGAGCAAATAAAATATCTTCTATCAGATAATGTAAAATTAAAACGCGTAATGTGCACGACGTACTTCCCCCATGTGTGTGTGTGTGTGTGTGTGTGTGGTTAGAACGTGGAAATTGCGTCGATAAAAATTTATTATACTTTCAAAATGAAATTGTATTTCGTAATAATATATGTTTATCAAATCAAATAAAATTATTAAACTTTTATTTCTTATTTTTCGAATAATTTTTGAATAATTAATAATATTGGCTTGGGATTTTTACAACTACTTGACGACATTTTCTCGAGATGGGTACAAGAAATTGTAGACCCCTCGAATTATGTGCCGACGACGACCTGTAAAGAATGTCTATCGAAGAGCACACGGACGACATATTATTTCTTATTTTTCGAATAATTATAGAATGGCTAATATTATTAGCTTGGGGATTTTTTGCACGAATTGACGACATTTTCTCGAGATGGGTACAAGAAATTGTAGACCCCTCGAATTATGTGCCGATGACGATCTGTAAGGTGTGTCTGTCGAAGAGCACACGGACACGTGCGACGTAACGAAAGCATAAGAGGGGCAAATAAAATATCTTCTATCAGATAATGTAAAATTAAAACGCGTAATCTGTACGACGTACTTTCCCCATGTGTGTGTGTGTGGTTAGAACGTGGAAATTGCGTCGATAAAAATTTATTATACTTTCAAAATGAAATTGTTTTTCGTAATAATATATTTTTATGAAATCAAATAAAATTATTAAACTTTTATTTCTTATATTTTGAATAATTCTTGAATAATGAATAATATTGGCTTGAGATTTTTACAACTACTTGACGACATTTTCTCGAGATGGGTACAAGAAATTGTAGACCCCTCGAATTATGTGCCGACGACGACCTGTAAAGAATGTCTATCGAAGAGCACACGGACGACATATTATTTCTTATTTTTCGAATAATTATAGAATGGCTAATATTATTAGCTTGGGGATTTTTTGCACGAATTGACGACATTTTCTCGAGATGGGTACAAGAAATTGTAGACCCCTCGAATTA